TCTTGACAGACACACTACAATAACATATTAACAACACAGGAAACTGGTTGAAAGGTCTGTTGGAATTATCTGTACTATCTTGCAACTTTTCTATAAATATGAAATTATTCCAAAGTAAATGGGGACATGTTGGCCAAAAGGTACAAATTTTTGGTTATAAGATAAAGTTATAGAGACCTACTGTACAGCAAGGTAACTTCATAATAAAGTACTTTATACTAGAAATTTACTAAGAGAGATGTTAAGTGTTCTTATCAAACACACATAAAAAATGTTAACTACATCAGGTGGTGGTGTCAATAACCTGATTGTGTAAACCATTATACATAAAGTGTACTCATCAAAACACATGTTGTAAACCTTAACTATATATAATTTTTATTTTAAAATTATAACTCTACAAAATCATAAATATTAAAATAATTTTAATCCGAAAAACTCTCCTATCAAAAACAACTATTACGAAAGAAATATGCACCTTGAAATAGTAGAACTTCTATACATTAATGATAATGAAAACTACATTTCAGAACATATGGAATATACTTAAAGTTCCTATTAGAGGAGAATTCATAGCCTTAAGTTCTTTATCAACACAAAGGAAAAAAAAAATGAAGAAAATAAGCTAAATTTCCAAATCATAAAAGCTAAATAACAACCAAATAAACCAAAATATAACCCAAGGTAAGAAATAGGAAACATGAAAGCAGAAAACAATGAGGAATACAAGAGAAAAACAGTAGATCTAACAAGTAAAACAAAATATTTTTTTAACATCAACAAAATTAACAAAACACTAGCTAACTTAATTGCAGTGGGTGAGGAAGTACCAATATAAAAATAATAATCTGGGATAAATAATCATTCAAATAGAAGATTTTTAAAGTGAGATCACTTTGCAGGTTTTTATAAAAAAATACATATTAAAAACTAGATGAAGTGAAAATTTTTCTAGAAAAATATATTTTGATAAAACTGACCTCAATAGACATGGAGTTCAAATTTCTGTGGTAGAAATGAAATTTCTGAACTATTTGTATAAGTAAAAAATTTAAAAAAATAAATAAAAAGAAGAAGAAACTTTATAACAATAAAAAAAGAAGCAGGTGGTGAATGTCAGACTCCTATTCAAAAGTTTTCCGTTATTATATTCATTTTTATTCTCATTGTTTTCTTCTTCTATCCCTGCTTTTCATATAGGCCATTTTTGGGACTGGACACTGGTTCAGAAGTGATTTCTTATGTAAACTTTCTTTTGGACTTCAATTCATATTAAGAGATCTTCTAGTAACGTCATTAATAATGTAATTTCAGTTTATTGTGCTGACATCTAATCCTAAATGGTAAGCATACATTTCAAATGCCCTTCTGAAAAACCTTATGCCTGATTGAAGTATTAACTTTTCAAAGACTACAAAAAAGGTCAAATTCCAGACAAGAGATTTAGCATTATAGTATGCTTGAACTAGGTGTCTTTACCATCAGGCTTGACAAATGTCTTCTGATTTGTGTTCAAATTCAAATCTGTCATGTTTTCTTTTCTGAACTTCTGGAGCTACAATTACAGGGCTCTTATCACTACCCTTGATGCACGTCTGCATTTCACAAGCCATCAATGGAGTGGACCAAACTAGAGCTTCTTTTGATCATTTCTCAACTTCTGCCATCTCTGCAGATGTTATCATCAGCATGGACTGGTTTTTATTTATTTTTGCTCTGAATTCCGTCCGGCTTCCAGCTGGTTTCCTAATGAGCCCCAGTGGAAAACATGGGCATAAATAATCAAAAGTTGTCAATCATTAGTGAGGCTCACAATGAATTAAAGTCTTATGATAATGAGAAAAATAAAGTGTGGCATGAACTTTCTCATCAAGTGATCGTTAAAATACTCACACTTAATGTGTCTTCTATTTTAAATTTCCCTGTTTTAGTTGTTGATGTTGTTGATGTTGTTGAGCCAGACTCTTCAGAAATAATGCTCCTATCAGACAGGCCCTATTTTGTTCATCTGTAGGTTTGGTAGCATCCACTGAATTTCTCTGTACATTTTTGAAAAACAGTTCCAGTTTTTCCTCTAGCAGGGCTCATGAGCCTACAGGTAACTGCACAGGAGCTCATGAGAATAAGTCTGCTTAGTGTCATAGAAGAAAAGATTATTTATGTGGTTTTTTTTTTTTCTTTTTGGTTACATGTTCTTGATACAATAAAGTTCAAACCTTCTAGAGTGTCTTGGTTTTATCTCTGGCTTACCAGGGCTGCCTTCTTCCATTTCCTCTTGTGTGTCAACGTCTCCTTCTGTTTAGAGCTTATGGAGACTTTGTGTAGCCTCATTACCTGGGGTTAAATTCAGCTGGGAAGGAAGTGGAGAGCCTGGGTGGTGATAAGCACAGACTTTCAATTCAAATAAAACTTACCTTTTCATTTTTCCATTTCCAAAGAGCTACAGTTAGGCTTGCAGGAGTTGTATTCTGCTGAGTACTGACGCCCACCTACTCAACAAGTATTTCCTGCTTGCCCATCACTGGCCAGGGGTGTGCCACAATAGGATGAGAAAATCAAAGTCCTGGCTCCACCCACTATCCCTCTAATTAGGAAGACAGATTAATGGAACCATCCTATAAATCAATGTGTGATGCCTGCCAGAAAGAAGGATCAGTGGCACAGCAGGCACATCAGCCAGGGAGGTCTGGAACATTCTGTCAGGGCCAGATGAGGCTCCTGTAAGGAAATGGCATCTCTCTTGGGAGCTGAAGATGGGTGGATGCCAAGGAGACCTGGGAACAGAAGGTAAGGAGTATGCAGGATGACCTCCCACGGCTGAAGAAGGTGGCGGAAGGAGTGACCAGGGAACACGTTCCTAGATGTAACTTCACATGAAATGTCTCAATCATTTTGAGAGGAAAACTGGGTTGTAGTACTTAGCACCAAGTAAGCACAAAATAAACCCTGGCTTCTACTCGTATTGCTTTCTGTGTCAATGGGCCTTTCCTGTCTCTCCAGCCAGCCTCCACACGGGGAGAGTGATGACTAGGCAGGAGCCCTTTCCATGTGTGCTCAAAAAGCACTCCTCAGAAGACACTTCCCTTAAGTAAATAGGATTAATGTGTTGGTCCGTTGGCTAAGTGGTTAGGACAGAGGGAGCTAGGGGTTAAGGAGGTCCACCTTAGGGCCAGAGATGTCCCACAGGGAGTGATGGTTACACAAAGCATAAAGAGGCAGGAACTCTTACTGCCATCAGTTTACCAAAGAGAATATAGACAATGGAGAGGTTAAAGCATTTCCCCCAGGATCACACACCTAGAAGGTGGCAGAGCTGGGCTTTGTGTACAGGAAATCTCTCTCTAGAGTGAAGAGCTTAAGCACTCTGCCATACTTTAAGACAGACAAGGCCCTTGGTCACGTAAGGCTCACAACTTCCTAGGAAAGGGGCCGGGAGATGGAAATAGTACACACGAGTAAATAAATGAGCCGGATAATTTCAGTGTGTGGTTGATTTTACAAAGGAATCCGTGATGTGATACACAGGTATGGCCGCAGTGGGGTGCGGGAGGGAGTCCAGGAGTGACCTTCCAGATGGGGCTGAGGAGAAAAAGAAACACTCTGTGAAGAGGTAGGGGAAGGACTTCCAGGAGAGGAAAACAGCCAGGCAGAGCCGGGTGGGGGGGGGGGTGAGATGGGCATTTTGGAGGGACTGAGAGGCCTGAGAAAGAAGGGGAAACAAAGTTAACATGTCTGATTGAATTTTTTTAGAATTTCACCCGAAGTTGTGCGTGGTGATGAGCATCACAGCAGTTAAGAGTGAAGCAGAGAGAGGTCAAGCGCTGCTTCTGGGAGACCCAAGAGAAATAACCACGGTTTCTACTGGGGTGTTGGCAGTGGATGTGCAGAGAGGGGATATGATAGAGAATTTTAAATCTTCATAATGAATTTGAAGGAGTGAGAAGAACAGAGGAATCAAAGATGGAAGGATGGCTCCTAGACTCTTTGGCTTAGGTAACTACAAATAGGGGCTCCTTTTGAGGGAGACCAGAGGAGCGTGTAGGCAAAGTCAGGACTTTCAGTTTGCATATGAAATGTGAAACACCTCCCTGGCTTCCTTTTTGGGGGAGGGGAGTACTAGGGATTGAACTCAAGAGTGCTTAACCACTGGGCCCCACCTCCAGCTCTTTTTATTTTTTTATTTTGAAACGGGGTCTCACTAAGTTTCTTAGGGTCTCATTAAGTGGCTGAGGCTGCCTTTGAACTTGTAATCCTCCTGCCTCAGCCTCCCAAGTGTCTGGGATTATAGGGGTGCCTCAGCTCGACCCTACTTGGCTCTCCAAGCAAGGGTTTAAGGTACAGACCATATATATGTATGTGGTTGAAGTTAAGGACGAAGAAATACAAGAGTTATCCCCTTATAGATGGGATGTAAGTACGTGGAGATCTGCTAAGGGGAACAACGAGAAGAAAGCTTGGATCACAGTCCCCAGACTCCATGGTCTTAATTAATTCACGGGCCTCTCTGGGGCTCAGATCACTTATCTATCCATCAATTGAGGGCAAAGAAATAATGACCTATCCTATCTCAGGTTTGAGCTTCTAGAACTAATGCTCTTTCTTCCCCTTTGCTCTTGATTGGTCCCCTACATTTCTGACAGGTGAGGAGATACGTTTATTCTTTGCCCCAACAGGTTTTCAAAAGAAATTGAATGATTACTGAGGACTTCCTTGAGCAAAACAGAGAATCGATCACAGCTCAACTTCCCCTCCCTGCAGAGGAAACTCCAAAAAAGCCTCCTTCATTTCCTTTCAGAATGTTCCTGAGAGTGGGGACAGCAAAGTCACTAACCTCTTCATGTAAATCGGATCAATCCGACTTGACATTCCACAGTGCAGAGGGCTAAATAGGCACAAAGCCATACACACCAGCCACGTCATCACATCTGAAAACTCAGTTTCGACCCTGAGATTGTCAAGGACCCAGCAGATCCTTTCGTCAATCAGTCCCCAGTATTTACCTGGGTGCCCTGAGGGGGCCTGGAGCTGGATGAGGTGCGTCTGTGAGCCAGCCCGCGGATCCTCAGGCGTGAAAATAGAAATTTAATCACTTGTTCATCCAAGCATTTCCCTTCAGCTTTTCCAATATGTTTTTTGTGAATGACTAACAGAAGAGCTGCCGCAAAGAGCCTGCAGATCCCGGCCAGCCCTGGGAGGAAGGATGACTCACCCTCGGCTGACGTCAAAGCCTCCGCTCTCTCAGAGCTGGAGGAAGAGAATGGCAGCGGCCTGGGAAGAGTGACCCAGATGCCCTCCGGAGCCCCGTGCGGGTCCTAACTGCTTCCTCTTCCCCCGCCTGGCAGTGATGATTAAAGACCAAGAAAGTTTCAACTGTGAAAACTCCAATTTCACTGTCAAATGAACCAGAAAACTAAGAACAGAAGTCTTTCTTCCTGACAAGTCGTACCACATCCTTGTGGTGAGTTCTTCTGGAAAACGCTGAGGATATTCAGTCCTTTGCATAGGAGTGTGGTACTGACGTGGGTGTGTCTTAGTCCATTCAAGCTGCTGTAACAAATACCACAGACGGGGTGACTGGAGCCACACACACTTATTTCTCACAGTTCTGGAAGGTGGTGCTGGCAGATTCAATGACTGATGATGAGCCTGTTTCTGGTTGGCAGATGTTTGTCTTCATGCCATGTCCTCACTTGGGGCAGAGAGAGAGAGAGAGAGAAAGAGAGAGAAAGGATAGTAGTCTCTCGATCTCTTTCTCTTCTCATAAGGACAAAGATTCCATCATTGAGACTCCAACCTCATGACCCCATCTACACTTCATCCCTCCCAGAGGCCCAATTTCCAAACATCAACATGTTGGGGTTAGGGTTTCAGTACATGCATTTTGCGGGGACATAACATGTATTTCATAACTATTTGCTTACAACCTTTCAATCATGACCTTTTCCAATATGTCTGTCATATCAGGATTGCCTAGGACTTTACCAGACTTTGCACTCTAAGGATTCATTAGAGGTTCAAGGGTTTCAAGGAACCCACCAGACAGTTCAACCCAGCTCTGACATCCTGTGCAAAATGTTTAACAAATTTGTCTGTGGAAAATGTTTGGCTGTATCACAGTTCAGCACCTTAGTTATTTGTCCCAGAGCCTCTTGTCTAGGTAACACCCTGTTTAGTTCCCTGAGCAGTGCCATCACATCCATCCTAAAACTTTCCCTTCTTTCCAAGGAGACTGGTTATCTAATCAAGAGATCAAATCTAGCTTGCTGACGGCTATAATGGATCCGTTACCTGGTCTACCTCTCTCTGATGTTTAAGTTATGTGTCTGGTGGTCTTAGCACCCACTTATCACTTAGCTCTTTGAATTTTTATTGGATAAGGATCTTTACCCGTCCTTTGGCATATTTTGACATATTATTTTTCATTGCAATTCACAATTGTTTTGTGGTTCTTGACAGCAGTAAACTTTACCATCATTAGTTTTTGCTTTCATTCTGTTACTCAGGGGACCATCCCAGTACCTTGCACTAAAGGTCCCTCAACAAGGGTCTGTTGGGTTGAGTTGCATTTTCATTATGGTAACTTCTGGAACTACCAATCCTCCTTGGCTTAAGAGGAGGTAATATCCCAATACATCCATCATAAGTCAAAATCACCTTTGGTACACCTTGTTTTGTAACATCATAGCCTAGTGGCACAATTGGTTATTTACCCTCTTGGCCACTTGGTCCACTGGGAGCTGCTGCTTGCTTCCTCTGCCCAGCATCACAAGTGAGTATCATACATCACATGTCACTAGCCTGGGAAGAGATCCAAATCTGAAGTATGGTTTCCACTGAATGTATGTTGCTTTTGCATCATCATAAAGCCAAAAAAAAAACCCCACAAATTAAACCTCAAAGTCAAGGACTGCCTGCACAGTCTATGTGCATAAATCGAATGGCAGAACTTCAGGCACTGCGATGGGAGAGAAAGACAATAGGTTTGAAGGACTTTCGGAACAATGTAAGGTATGCACATATATACTATTGATGTGAAAAGCTCCTTCTAATTAGTTTGATGCTGATCCTGACCCAGTTCAGGCCTCAGTGTAACACTGTCAGCCAAACACACTGGACTGATGAGTAACAGGAAATAAATTACAATTTTCCAAATTATAATGAGCGAGAGACCTGCCCTGTGAACTATCACGCTAGCAGAGGGCACTTTCCTAGCACACAGGTCTGCCAAGGAGAGCAAATTGATGAGAAGATTCCTGATACTAAATAAGAGTTGAGCTGATATTTTCAATGAACTCTGAGAAGCTAGTGAGTGGCCTTTTTATTCTCTAAACAGATAAAACTTTGGTCATTGAGAATGAGAATCCCAGTTCTTTGGGAAATACCTAGTTATCATAGATAAACTGTAATTCTCTGACTTTCTTCTGTGAAGTTGATGTAAAGTTACGTCTTCTGAATTCCTTATCTTTATTTGACTCCAAAATTTCTTGCTCTGCCCCCTTTTCCTTAGGGGGCATCCCTATACTGGATGTTTTATCAGTCTGCCTGAGATTCTGCCTGCTTTAATCCTGGAGAGAATTTTAATCAAACATCTGCCCGATAGTTCTCCAAGCTATTCTAATATTTAGTCTGGAATCTCCCAAAGTTGGATGTACATCAAGAAAGTAAGACTGTTTCTGGGGCTCACACTAAGTCAATCCAAGCTCCTAGCATCTGTTGGACATGCACAAACACATACAAAGTAGAAAGGGCTCATCAGTCAATTTTCCAGATCAGAAATAGGCAGACACTTCCTCATTATCAAAATATAGATTTACAGTTTTGGAGGTGGAGTCTCCAAATGAAGCGAAGGTTAAGTGTTGGGCATATTTTGATTTTCACTCTGTATTAATAGTAACAATAACCCCAATTACAAAGAATTGAAGTACAAAGAGGTTAAATGCCTGCGGTACTGTCACCGCTCCTGATAAAGCTGAGATCTGAACCAAATTCTGTTTCAGAAAGTTCTCTGCACTCCCTACTGTGTGTCAGGGTTCAAATGCTGCTGCCTCTTGGCTCTAGGAATCAGCAACTATATTGCTACTGACTTGCTCTGACTTCCTTTTCTAAAGTTTATGTAAACCATAGGTTTGCATCTTTGTCAAGAAAAGTGAGAATTAGTTGCATGAAGGACAACCTACCCGTTCCTTAATATCACATTCTCTTGTACATTTATTTCCTTTTATGATTCCCAAAATAAGTCAAATGAATTCCCCAACATGCCAGACATAACTGAATGCTCCTACAGCCCTCAATGAACCTTCATTTTCTAGCCCCACCCTCTACTTGCTCCTGGGCTTTCTCTCTTCTTCTCAGAGATCTGAATCTCCTCAGAGCCCCAGGCCCAGCTCTGAACTATCCCTACTCCAAGCTTCTAGATTCCAACAATCCCAAACATTTTCCTTAGTTCCCTAATTCCTATAGTTTCCACCTCTGTAATAAGATGCTTCTGGATTCCTTTGCACCCTAATAAACCATTTTTTAACATTAAATTCTCTGCTAAAATAACTGATACCTGTGTGTTCGTGACCATATCTTGATGGATTCAGTAGCCTTTACCAGGAATTGGAACTCTCTCCAACCTCACACGTATTGTGTTAAGACAACTGAAGTACATGGTATTTTCTGCTCACGGAAGTCCAACCAACACAATGGCATTACAGTTGTGGACCAGTGTGTCATTGTTTGGAATGTCAAAATCATCAAGTATCTCTGCAGATACATTGTGGGGTATAATAAGAAAGATGACAAAGCCCTGACCCTATACTAAGAAGATACACACTCTTGGCCCTGTCAGGTCAACACAAATTACAAACCGGTATGGAGAAAACTAGGTCAATCACTGAAAAACAAGTGTCAAGGGCTGCAAGATTTGCATCAGTAAAAAGATAACCTCTGGACAGATGCTACCATCAGAGTCCTCAGCCGATTCAGTTTCTGATAATCCACAGGTTTTCCTGGCATCTGCTTTCCTTGTGCACAAGTGGAAAAGGCAATAAGATAATTGTGGATTTGACCAATTTAACCACCCCTACGTCTTACGCCTACGTCTCCGAGGTCCTTTGGGGAGATGGCTTAGAGGAAGATATACTTGTGACTTCCTGGTATGCGTGGGTTTAGGAGTGTGTGAATGCTGAAATCAACCAGTAATTATATCTTCTGGGAGCTTATCATCTATTGGGCATTGAGTGAAAGATGCAAAGATGATGACACAAAGGGTCTGCCCTCAAGGAGTGATTTTTTTTTTTCTGAAAGAGGACAACAAGTAGAAGTAAATATACACAGATAAATTGTAATGTGATCAGTAAGTAGCATAATGGAGACATTAGATGACACAGGAGTACTCGTTCAGGAAGAAATCTGTCATTTTTAGAAAAGGCCCCTGGTAAGACACTAACAGCCTTCCTTCAGATTGGCTCGAAGCCCACATTAGCATTACAATCCAAATCTCGTTACAGTGGGATGGCAGGTGGGTTCTTTCTCTCCTCTATGCTTTCTTGCATTTTCCGGACTCTCTGTAACATGCTTACACGTATGATTTGAACAAATCTTATTTTAAAATCCTTTAAAATAAAATCCCATTCCATTTGCTAGCGACTCAATAATCCTCCTTCTCCTCTATTTCCCAAAGTCTGACACAAGTGAGGATGGTGGTGATGGCGATGGTGATGGATGGTGACCTAGCTCTAGCACTGACCAGCTATGTGATCTGAGCTCTCTCTCTCTCTCTCTGCATTAGCTTCTTCAAAAGGAAAGTGAAAATGATAAGAATATTTCCTGGGTGAGGCTGAAATGAAATTGCGTGAAGAGATTCAAAGCCTCTAGACTGTTAGAATTCAACAAATAGTAGCAATAATAAAAACTAACAAATAAAAATCAAGCTCAACTGGTATTTATTGAGGCCTCACTGTGCCAGGTGCTACGCTAAGCATTACAGTGGTGTTTGTTCGTCTACCCTCCACAACCGGACGCATGTTACGAGGATGTGATTTTAATTTCAACAACTTCAGCTACACACAGTCATGCCTCAGAAAAATGGCAAGTATAGAGGTTTGAGTAGTTCACACCTTCATCAGCTGCTCATTCTACAGTTCCTTTGGATCCTTCCACCTAGAAAACAATGGCACAGATTATATCTTTTTTTTTTAATTGTTGGGCTTGAATC